CACTTTCATCATACAAATACACAACGAAAAATATGTTGCTTTTATCTATAAACTGCAAAATTATTTAAATAAAAAAAAATAAGTTCAAACGTAGCTAATCAAACAGTTTGAAGAATCTTACTATAGTTTATTTGAAGACCAAGAAGGAGTATATTCTCAGAAATGTAATAAAATGTTATAAGCAAATTATAGTATACAGTATATGCGGCAGAACATGTTTTAAAAATGTATTTTACATTGAATTCAGATAAACCAAACTACATTTTTCGGAGTGTCACATTATTTAGGTGTCTTTTATTTTTATAACAATAGACCCTTGATCATAACCGTAACCTTAGGTATATTTATAGAAATGAATAGTTTTGTTCAATGGCATTTTAATGTAAATTGATATTTGATCGACAGTTTGTGGAAAAACTTGTAGATCATTTACTACCATTTCGAGTTGAACGAGATCTTACAATCACTAAACGTATGAACGATAAGCATGCTCAAGGATGTGATAATATCCCTAGTTATTTAGTAAAAGATTAAGCCAAACAGTTTCAAACGATTTTTAAAGCCTTTAAACATTCACACCAGATGCCTGAAAACTCGCCAAATTTGTTCTGTTTTTTTAATCTGGTGAAATAAATGGTAAATTTTTGCTCCATTTCCTTGATATTCAACTTTGTCAATTCATTTGAGATCTGTATATAAACTATTTCCCCAAGTTAAATTTTGTTTCTTGAAGGTCAACCGTTACAAACTTTAAAACTTTCATGAAAGCAGCTACTAAAGCAATAAAACAAAAAATGCAATTAGATACAATATTATACACAGATTTTTCCAAAGCTTTAGAAAAATTGGACCACTCTATTCTGAATTACAAATTTAGAAATGTTAGATTTAGTAGAAGGCTAGTTAATTTTTTTCAATCTTATTAGAACAATAGATATCAATTTTTTAAATGTCTGGAGCATAAATTTCAAATGTTTACAGCAAGTAGTGGAGCTCTTCAAGGCAGCAATCTAGCAACATTATTATTCACGTTATTTATTAATGACATAGGCGAGCTGTTTTAAAAATAAATTGTACCTAAATGTAAATAAATGTTATCAATCCACCTTAAATGTTTAAACAACTATTTTCTTGGAGCAACTCTAAAGGCAATTCTACAAACTGCCTAGAAGACCTGACAGGGCTAAGTAATCTAAACAAAGTGATCTAGGCCACGAATATTATCATAGCAATGAAAAGACCGACGAATTAGCTCGAGAAGGCTCAGATAAGGCCATGATAGGCCCTGAACACTTCTTTGGAACTACTAAGGCATCCATCATAATAATGGATGCAAAAAAGTCTCAGGAAACAACTATCTAGGATTGAGATAGACAAGAGTTTTTTAATTCACCTTTTAAGCGGGCCGGGCGAGCGAATATAGTCGCGCTCGCTAATTCACGCTGTAGTGGGCGAGCGAATATAGTCGCAACGCGTCATAAACTCGACGTTAAGAGTACCGATTTTATTATATTTCATATTTCCTAAAAGAGTACAAGTAGCTCCATCTATTTGTGAAAACCTATTTAAAATCGATCCATATTTGACGATGCTCGATCGAAGAGTAGATTTACAGATTTCTGCAAAGTGGCTCGCGCATTATTTATGCCACTGATCTTTAAATAAAAACTATTACAAAATCACCATAATAGTGATTCTTTATCTGAGATTATGAGGCGAGTAACAGGCGAGTTACATGAAGACACTTTGCTGACATGGTCCATACAAACTTTTATCGACAACCATAAATATTTATAATAATAAAAAAGGAGATATTATGACATTACATTTTAGTATGACAAAGTAGACAAACAGAAAAATAACAGCGAATACAAAACAAATCAGTTACATACTATTTCTGTCAGACGGTCATGGCTATGTTGATAAATAGTAGCGGCAGATAAAATATTTGATTTATGCAGTGAGATAAAGTGTTTGTTTACTTCCGCAAATCGCTACGGTAATGCATGGCTTTATTAACGGTTGGCGATAAAAATTACTATATACTAGAAAACAATATCGGGACGGTAGCGTAGATGTCTAAGGCGTCCGCATTCATTTGCGAGCAATTTTATGGTAGACAAACCCCGGCTTCGAATCCCACAGAAGACCGTGTGAATTTATCTGCATGGTACTCTATAGGATTTGATGGATGCCGTATTAGCAGAAATTTAATTTCTGTTGATTTGACATCCAGATTATATTTAATAATAATAGGCGTCATTTTCCCAACACAAGTCTCTCAGTCGGCTTCAGGAGTTATATTCGCACGGAAGGGGATGAACTGAAGAGAGTATAATAATTATTATTATTGAGTCTAAATAGGCTTGCCAGATTTCATGAAGGAAAAAACGGACATGCAATATAGGGTTGAAAAAACCGCTGCAGCCGAAATTTTTAAGGTTAAATTATTAAAAAGGAAGATTGGTGACCTAACATTTTTTTAAAAGTTAATATATTTACTACGTATAGGTACCTATACTCGGAGGTATGGTTTTTCAAGTTATTCAAATAAAAAAAGGCACAGAAAAAATAATCATAAAAGTAATTCAGAATGATTTTTTTTTTGAATTATTAATTCTAGGGTGCTTGTGAAAAAAATATAAATCAACAAATGGTCAAAATGACATATGTCCATATACCTACCGGTAATAATCATTCCCACCTTCTGGTAATATGAGTATAAGTTATTTGCGATCGAACAAGGCAGTATTATTACACTAAGTACAAAATAGTATAACTATTCTATACGAATCAATTTAGTTTAAGTCGACTTATATTATTTGAACCTTTGCTACAAATAATATAAGTCTACTTACTATTGCGACCACTGCTTGTTATTGTAACTTGTAAAGACTTATACTTAAAGAACTTAACCTCTAAAATTTTAGTTGTTTACTAAAAACTTCGGATGTGCTTCTTCAGTTGTTTTATTAACACATTTTTGGACGTGCAACTTTATAAAAAACTATATAGTGTGTTTAGATGACCAAAGATTTTTGAACTTCTTAAAAAACAAGGTAAGTAGCATATTTTCAGATGTTACTGTTTAGTTATTGTTTATGTGGGGAGCACTATTCATTTTTGATATTTCGATTATTTTTTTTATTTTGTACATTTTTATAGATTTGAACAATATTATTTTAGATAGAACTGTGATAATCTGATATTTCCTTTATAGAAAACCAGCAAAATGCTGAAAACTGCCAAATTACCAGTTGTCAATTACAACAAGATACATATAACACATGTTACGTAGTTAGAAAATTAGAATACCTGAAGTAGATGAAAATAAAAAGAACGAGTTAGAATTAGCTTCACATCACGCAGAAGCTGATAAGGCATATGAAGAAAAAAGAAGAGTTAAAAACCTTGCTGTTGGTGATGAAAGTAAGCGTTGTTACGTATTTGATCTTCAGCAATGTCTACAGACTCCTATGTTTAACATTTCAGTTGTCTCTTATAAAAGGCAACTATGGACATTCAATCTTACTCTTCATGAGAGTAGTGGAGGACAGGTAAGATGTTACGTGTGGCACAAAGCTAAAGGTGGGCGAGGAGGGAACCAAATCGCCACATGCCGTTTTAAAGAACTTACATCCATTCCGTCACAAGTATCGCATGTCATATTGTACTCACACATGTGGAGGGCAAAATAAAAATTCACCTGTAGCTGCCATACATATCCTGATTCAGAAGATTCAGAGGAAGATAATGACTAGCCACATTTTTTTTTGTACTAACTTCCTTAATATGGCTTAATATGTAATGTTTATATTTAAATACTTAGTTTTAAGTTATTTTTTTAGTTTTTTTTTTTTTTAGTACAAGTCAGTATTTTTCTTGGCCAAAATAGATTAAACAAATTAAAATAATAAAACTTTATTTAAAAAGAAACTAAAAATATATATATTGAGAACAGATCCAAATAAAATTAGTGAGATAATGGAATCTCAAATTAAGTGATTTATTATTTTAAAAAAATAGGTAAATCTTTTTACTCATATTTTTACTTATATGTTTAATTATATTTTTTCTCTTAGCTTTTAAGTATTTCACCATGTTTTTTATGTCGAAACAAGTGTCTCAACACTAACTGATTAACTTTTATTTCTGGATTTTGTTTATTTTATACATTTTTTGTCATTTATATTTCCCGAACCATAGTGTAATAACTACAAAATTTTAAATTTTATTCTTTTTTGTAAAGGAAACCTAGCAATTTTTCTGCTACGAAGACTGCAGCATCGAAGCTTTTACCATTTCATCCTAGATGTTGCAAGAGAGACTCTTCTTGGAAACGTGTCTGCCGAAAATTTCCGACGAAGAGTTGTGTTTGTTAGATACTACGGAAAACCTTGCGCGTCCCCGATTAAAAGGGTAATATTACTATTATCTTAGGAAGCAATAATTAATAGATAAGCATTTTCAATACAATAGTGTTATATACCAAAATATAAAATAATTTATGATTATATATTTTAAATATTGTTCCTATTGATGTTTAGTATTTTATTAATAAGTTATTAAATAAAAAATACTTTTCATTTAAATGTGGTATTATTAAAAACTGAAATCAAAAACTGTAAAACATTTTTGATAGAAGACTGTAATATGACAGTATTTTTTTAAATCGCTTGTAAATTAAAAAAAATATATTAGAAAATAAGTCTTTTACATTTTTATTTCTATATTTTGGCCTTTTTGTGTCATTTTATTTACTATTGTATAAGTTTGGTTGTGTGAATTTAATTAAATATATTACAAAAATACGCACGTCTATGGTTTACTCATTTCGAGGATCATACTTTTATTACATTTCTAAGAACTTACTCATCCTTATCCTTCAAAGGAAGTATTGTCCACGCTTATAAATCTTATCAAATTAAAAATACATAAATACAAGTTCGTTCTTCCTGTACCACTCCACCTCAGATCGCAATTCCAATCCTACACCACCTCTAATGTTGCGACCACTTGATGGTCTTCAAGTCGACCCCCTCTTGAACCATCTCCCATAAAGGACTCATCTCCCTCAACCTGGTGACGTGGTGGATGCATTTCTTCGCCGTGTAATCCACCTCGGCTTCTGTAGTGAACCGACCGATACCGAATCGGATCGAACTGTGGGCGAGATCCTCGTCCGCGCCGATGGCCCGAAGGACGTACGACGGTTCCAAAGAGGCGGAGGTGCAGGCCGAGCCGCTGGAGAGGGCGATGTCTTTCAGAGCCATCAATAGAGATTCGCCTGAAAATGTATTCAAATGTTTTCATTGTTATTTGGGGACCATCAGATTAAATTTCACATTTGTGCTTTGGGATTATTAAGAATTAAATTCGCTCTATATTAATGACTCAAAGCAGGGACAACTACGAGACGAATAACAACATTTAAGTAATGAGAATGATTTTATTGCCGCGCTTGTGGTAAACCTGCGACCTTGAAACTCCCTTTCTCCTTCCCCGACATCCTTTCCCTTTCCCTTGATATTTTTATCATCTCTCTAGTTTGTTTAGTTGGCCGGCTGTGTCGTGTTTAGTAAAAGGGTGTTGGTGGTGCTCGTCACGAAAATGGACTAACAAAATCTAGAGCAACGAGTCGCGATAAAATTTTGCGCCAGATTGGGCGAAACAGCTTCGGAAACGTACGCTAAAATCGTAAAAGTGTATGGTGATAGTGCTCTCAGTCGTGCCTAGGTGTGTCGATCGCATAAAGAGTTTAAGGAGGGGCGTGAAAGCGTTGAAGACCAGGCGCGGAGCGGGAGACCAGTCGAGGTGCGGACTGACCCGAATGTGCAGCGAGTTCGAATGTTGGCCTCGGAACTGGGTATGAACAGTCAGACAAATTTTAACTGACGATTTAGGGATGAAAAAGTTGTGTGCGAAGATGGTTCCAAAGAACCTTTCTGAGGAGCAAAAGTGGCATCGAATGACCGTCGCAGAAAACTGTTTGGAGCAAGTGGAAAACGATCCCACGCTGCTTGATCGAGAGCTGGTTTTTCCAATACGACCCGAAAACCAAACGCCAAAGCTCACAATGGGTTGTCTGCGCACTCCCCCCGTCCGAAAAAAGCTCGCATGAGCAAGTCGAAGGTGAAAACGAAGATCATTACCTTTTTGAACTCCGTGGAATTGTTCATAAAGAATTTGTTCCACTAGGGCAAGTCTACTACCGCGAAGTACTCGAAAGATTGCGAAAACGAATCAACAGGGTGCGCCCAGACATCGCAAACAACTGGATCCTTCATCACGACAACGCGCCATGCTATATCGCCCTCAGCGCGTCTAAAGGAATCACCGTGTTTCCACAGCCGCCTTATTCGCCTGATATGTCACCCTGTGACCTTTTTCTGTTCCCTAGGGCAAAATCGATGGTCAAAGGAACCCATTTTGAGTCGGTTACGGACATCCAAAAGACCGTGACGAGGGTACTCGCAGGCATCCCAGTCGAAGCGTTCCAGAAATGTTATGAGGATGGCAGAGTTGTAGAATAATTTTTAAATATACGGATTTTATAAAATCAGTCTCATTACTTAATTGTCACACCTCGTATGCTTGAAAATTATTACCATTATTCCTATTCAATCATATATCATGCGGTTTTCTTTATTTTACTTATTTTTCATACATCACTTTTTGTCAAGTACAATGAAAGGTGAATGCAAGGCGGGCAACTCTATTTTTACAGACATTGCCACAATCTACAGGGTGTCTGTAAAAGGTCTTTACAAAAACATACCACATATTCCTTAGACCAAAATAAGTCGATTTAAGTAAAATTACCTTAGTACAAAGTTGCTTCGTTTGGGCTCCAGAGGGCCTTGAAGTTACAATTTTTAAATCATTTTTCCCATATAAATTTAAAACGGCATATGCGATTTTGCTGAAATTTGGTATATTAGTAGAGTTTTATGTGGCAAAAAAATGATATTAAAATTTTGTCCGATAATAATACATAGGCGTAGAACTTGATTTACTTTAAAAAAGGTACTCTTGATAAGACTCGATTACTTTCATGGTTTTGACGAAATTTGCATTTTAGTAATTTTAGAACATAAATAATAAGTATTAAAATACAGACTTTGTCAAAACCATGAGAGTAAATCGAGTGTTATCAAGGGTACTTTTTTGTAGTAAATGAGTACCCAATCTAAATTTCATACTCAAACCCCTTTTTTGCCATTGGCGTAGAATTTTTATAGGTGCAATTATTTAAAAAATCAAGTTCTACGCCTATGTATCGGACAAAATCTTATACGATAAAAAACATAAAAATGTACTTTTTTCATATCTTCTTCAACACCTCTAATCGAGACTTTTAACAAAAATACTCGATTCTTGCCATGTACGATTTTTTGAGGAATATTAATTATTTGCCTGCAATACGTATACAAAAACATTTATTGTTGGTTTCCATAGTTTCATCTAAATAAAAATATTGTCAAGTTTTAACACCTAATCTCTTGTTAACGATTGAAAGTGTTCTATTTGACTCAATAATTAAAAAAACAAATGCGTGGTTTATTAATATGGCTGTACAATATACCAATGCAGAATATACCGATATGTTACTGACATTAGGATTTTGTTAAGGAAATGCTCGATAGAGTGTCAGGATGTACTCTGAAAGGTTTCCAAATCGTCGTGTACCTAGCCACCCAACTTTTGCTGCTGTTGAGAGACGTCTTCCGGAGACCGGTTCCTTTGCTCCCAACACTGTTGATAATGGAAGAGAACGTTTTGTAAGGATTCCTGAAGTTGAAGAAGACATTTTAGAACGTGTTGAAGAAGATCCAGAATTAAGCACCAGACGAATTGGAAGGGAACTAGGAGTAAGTAAAGATGTCGTTCATAAAGTGCTTATAGAATGATTGCTATATCCATACCATAAGAAGCCAGTACAAGAATTATTAGTCCATGATCCTCAAATTCGTTAGGGTTTTTGTCGATTTGTTAATTTGCAAAGAGAAAGAGATCCAAACTTTGCCAAGAAGGTTCTCTTTACCGATGAAGCGGGTTTTACAAGAAGAGGTATAACTAATACCCATAATGAACATGTTTATGCCGTTGAAAATCCGCATGTAATAAAGGTAAACCATTTTCAGCACGAATTCAAAATTAATGTGTGGGCTGGAATAATTTGTAATTTCATTGTTGGTCCTGTCAAACTTCCACGAAGATTAACTGGAGAAAATTATTTGGATTTTCTACAAAATACGTTGCCAGAATTGTTAGAAGATTTACCTCTCCAGCTTCGGAGAGATATGTGGTTTATGCAAGATGGAGCTCCACCACATTTTTCTTTAAACGTTAGAAACCACTTGAATGAACAATATCCACACAAATGGATAGGCAGAGGTAATGACGCACCTGTAAACTGGCCACCACGTTCCCCAGACCTAACACCGATGGATTACTTTTTATGGGGACATCTGAAATCCACAGTTTACAGGGAACCTGTAGAAAATGAGGAACAACTCTGGCAACGTATTCAAGATGCAATAAACAATCTTAGAGGTGATGAAGAAGTTATGGAAAGGATACATTTTAATTTTCTTCGACGTATAAATCTTTGTATGCGTGAAAATGTTGAACATTTTGAACAATTTTTGTAAAATCTCTATTTTGATTATGTTGTAAATAAATATTTTTGTGAAACCTATACACTCTAAATTATTAAAACAGAAATTTAGCGAAAACCATGAGAGTAATCGAGTCTTATCAAGAGTACCTTTTTTAAAGTAAATGAGTTGCGCTATCTAAATTTCATACTCAAACTCCTTTTCTTCCATTGGCGTAGAATTTTTAAAGGTGCAATTATTTAAAAAATCAAGTTCTACGCCTATGTATTATTATCGGACAAAATTTTAATACCATTTTTTTGCCACATAAAACTCTACCAATATACCAAATTTCAGCAAAATCGCATATGCCGTTTTAAATTTATATGGGAAAAATGATTTAAAAATTGTAACTTCAAGGCCCTCTGGAGCCCAAACGAAGCAACTTTGTACTAAGGTAATTCTACTTAAATCGACTAATTTTGGTCTAAGGAATATGTGGTATGTTTTTTTGTCTATTTAATTAGAAGATAAAAATTTAAAATAAACGTGAACAATGAAAGTAACTTGACAACGTTGTTCTAGCATCGTGGCTGTCATGAAAGAAGTATTAGGCAATCTAAATCACGTGACTTTAAATGATGGACCGCTTTGAGCAATCTATATAACTATATATTTATCATTGACCCTGTCAATGACAACAGGCCAACAGGGTTGACATATATAAACTGTCAGTTCGCACTGGCAGCATTTTGACAGGTAGTTGGAATGCCTAATACTTGTCTTGATAGACAATTGTCAAATTAAACCAGAAAATAATTATTTCATTTATTTTATTAGACATTCCAACGACCTGTCAAACAATAGCTGGCAGTGGGAATAGCTCGTATATTTAAGGGTGTTCTGACATATTTCATCTTGGGCGCTATTTTTATTCGAAATAGTAGTCGCCAAGCCTGCCAATTTATGAAAATAGTACAAGCTGTTTTTAAATGATATTTTCTAAGTGTTCAACATAAAATATTTAAATTTAATTCATTATTCATGAATTCACGTATTGTACCAACCCTTCCCACTGAAACTCTTTTGTTTAGAAAAAACAACAATAGTACGTGCTTCCCTTGACAAAAACACTTCTAGTGAGGTTTTTAGTCTGAGTTTATATTATTTTATTTGGAGTCATTATAGTTTTTTCGGTGTATTTAGTTAAATAATGGCATAATAATTTAATATCTATTAAGAATATATGAATACTAATTGTATTATTTGCCAATAACAGTCAAATACTAATGAAAAAGTCAAATTAACAAACTTTGTTGTTTTTGCCAAGCATCAACCATTTTTGTCCATTCTGACAGGACATTGGATTGCCTAATTAGGCATTCTAAACAAAATGGTTGCCCGAAGGTAATGACAGGGCCACTGGCAAGCACATGATAGGTTATGATATGGCAACATTGTGGGCCTGGTGATTTGACAGGGCCAATTATATAAATAGTTATATAGATTGATCATCCATGTTTTTAAAAAAAGGATAAATTTATACATTGAAGTAAAAAATGTAGGTACTATTTTTTTTATATGCAAAGGCTGGAAATTGGTTTTAAGATACATTTTTGTTAAACCAATTCAAATTAATGAACACTTGCCAGGCAATACTGCTCGCATTGACCACGTCAATGACAAC